ATTGTGACAATAAGCCGCCAGTTGGGCAAACGATGCTTCTGGCGACCCCCTCAAAAATTCCAAGGCATAACATTTGGCTCTCCAAGCTTGAGAATATGAGATACTAATCTTGAACCGAGCATTCATGTCAGTCATAATTTCATGTCCCCGATATACTCTTCCATTCAAAAACATTAACTCAGCCAGAAAACCACCCAACACCTTTTTGTTTGCCTGTCTATGGTGAGGAAAAACTTGGGTTCTTGAACATGTATGTTTATCAATAAAAGTCCTAGCTTGAAACATTTCGCAATCTTTTATCCTCTTAGCAATCATACGCCACATACAGTTTTTTTCAATCATACACCTTGTTTCGAAACGATCTTTTCTTGATTTGTTAACTCTTAGTTGATAGCCATCTTCCACACATTTCGTATACAAAGCTATCTTCAAGTCTTCATTTGTATCAAAACAATCATCTTTCTTGATACGAATAACTTTTATGTAACAATCAACTGATATCTTTACCAACTCTTCTTCCGGTATCTGAAGTAATTCTGGTATATTCCAGTTATATTGCCGTGTCATTTTCTTCTTTTTCCTTTCATCGGGGACTTCTTCTTCTTCTTTTTCTTCTTCAGGGTTATATGAATTACAGAATGGATGTTCAACATGTTCATTCACAGTCGTAACTTCCTCCTCATTATCATCAACAACATCTTCCTCGGCAGCGGCTGTTTCATCATCAAAATTCGGATTTTGATCAATATCAAAATCATTACATGCAGGGTCTGTTTCTTCTTCCATCACATCATCAAAATTTGAGTATTGATCAAGATCAAAGTCCGGGTATTGACCAAGATCAAATTTCGAATACTGACTAGTACTCACAATTTTTTCTGTTGGCTCATAATCGTCTAACTGGTTAATACGAAAACCGGAATTTGGTGCTGAAAGTTGATTGGGATTTGGATTTGGAAAAGGTTGTGGGTTTTGAGATTGTGTTTGATATTGTGTTTGGTATTGGAAATGTGGTGAAACAAAATTTGCTTGGTGATGAAATTGTAGTGGAACCATTAAATTTTGGGTTGAAGAACTTAGTTGATTACTACCCGCTACTGACCCAACTTCACTACTTCTAGGTTCAACAAAATATAATGTAACATTATCTTTTTGCGAAACACTAATGTAAGCATTGAATCGTTTAACATCTTCATTGTCGGTTAACAAATAAACTTTACCTTTTCTCATATAAGATAGCCTAAATCCACTTAGAGGCTCTAAATTCAATTTCTTTGCAACACGTAACATTAGAGTTTCATAAGTTAACTTTTTTAATGACAATTTTAGTTGAAGATTCATGGGTAAAGGCACATATTGTAAAACACCATGAACATTCTCCCATGACCCTCCAAAACACAAATCTATCCAAACATGATCAACATTAGATGATTTCATTCTAAAAATTGTAAATTAATTTACTAAACAAACGAGCTATGAACTAGATATCATCACTAACTTAGAGAAAAACATACCTTTATTAAGTTGATAGTTGATAATTTGGGAGAGAAATCATTAAAAAATTATATATAAATAAAATTATGTAAAAAAAAAATAGAGATGGGGAAGGAGGTCGTTGGATATAGGAACGGATGTCGCTGGAGAGAGTGATAGATGGAGATGGAATGAGTTGCGATTTAGGGATTTAGGTTATGAGTTGCTCTGCTGCGTTGTTATATACCCAAAACATTTGTGTTGCGAAACTAAAACCTGTTGCGAAATTAAATTCGCGTTGCGAATTTGAAATTCAGTTGTGAATTTGACTATCGCGTTGCGAATTTGGAAAATCGCAATGCGATTTACATATTCGCGTTGCGAATTTGAATTCGTGTTGCGAATTTGTTGGTCATTTTGGCAAATCCAAAAAAAGTTAGTTAAATTCGTATATTATAAGGCATTTTTGGTCACTGGGGTTATTTTCTCTAATGTTAATGTGATTTTGATTTGAGTCTAATCATGTCTAAACTATCGGAATATATATACAAAGATTAATTATGATATAATTATAATAAATATAATTTATAATATTTTATTAATAAATGTTATATTCTTATTCTATATTCAATTTTTTATGTGTTAATAATGTGTTATATAATAAAGTTCTTAGAATAATATTGTAATTTTAAAATTGACTCAAGTATTATTCGAGTTGATAGATTGTTATGCAATTAATTGATAATATAATGTTAAATGAGTATGAAATATCGAGTTGGTGTATGAATAAAATCTTAAAAAACATAATTTTTATCTAATATTTTTTATTGTAATAAATTAAGCGATACATATTTTTAAATTTTTAATAGTGTTGATTTTTTCTTTTATGCAAATATCGACTTTTGTGAAAATCAATCTAATTGAATTATATTACTAAACCTAAAGGTTAAAATGTTGACATAAAAAATAATGACTCAACAAAATATATACAAGAAATTAATATAATCTAATAATTCATCAATTAATATATAAAATGTTAACAAAAACCAACAATTCAAGTCGATATATTTGCGAGTAATTTCATTAAACTCTAATTTTTATAACGTACAATGAATTATTGCAAATTAAAGTAGGGAATCAACTTCTCGACTTCATTACTGAGAACAATCAATTAAAACAAATTTGTATAATTTATCAACTAATCAGAGTGGCGCAGCGGAAGCGTGGTGGGCCCATAACCCACAGGTCCCAGGATCGAAACCTGGCTCTGATAATTTTGTTTAATATTTTTTTTTGTTTTCATTTCACTCGACTTCACCAGTTAACTTGTCTTGTCTATTTGGGATTTTATGTTTTCGATTCTAGGGTTGTATTTGAGCTGAATCTTTGTTCCATCTATCTCCTCCTGCTTTTTTGAAGGTAGGTAGCTGTGTTTTGCTTTTTCCGTTACAATTTTTGCTAGGCAGTTTTGACTGTTGATGGAGCAAGGCCAAGGTGGTAGCTCAATCCAGTTGAAACCATGCATTGCAAAGGAAAATATCTATTATCAAATCTTCCGTTGTCATGTTCCAGTAAATGCTCTCTCAAGGGATTTTCATTTGATGATTTAACTCGAATTTACTGTATCACTCTACTCAAAACACCTCATGTCGTGAAGCTCTGATAAATCAGTGAATCAAACTGATGACATTGAAGGCCTTACATGTCGGGTGTCTGTAGGCTTTGTATGTGGATGTGCTGTTAATGTCTTTCAACAAGTTTTGTGGTAATAGCTTCCAGGAGGGGTACGATGACCATCAAGGCTGCTTATGCCCTCCAGGCCTCCACATTTGCTTTTTGCATGTAAGAAGAAAGATGCACGAGGAGTTCGATATATTGTCTGCTTTGGGTCCTTTACACTTAGAAAAAGGCAGACTATAATGCATTGTCGAAACATAAAAAATTATAATCTTCTTAATTAGAATCCCGTCGATTATATTCGTTATATGTATTATATTAATCAATCAATCCTTTCCTTTCCAAAATGATAATTCATTTAAACTTTTTTAAATACAAGACTTATAGTTGATTAAAAGCTCTCAATTGATACCTCTCTTCTCCCCTAAATTGTGGGTTCAATACTTATTAAGAGTAAAATTCTTCTTCTCTTCTTTTAGGTAGAAATTATTCCAATAAAAAAATACAACACGTAAACATCTAGGTTTGATGGTATGTAAATTATAGTATCACAAACTTAGTCACTTCTTTTCTCTTTTTGATTAAGGGTGATTATAACGTAGTATCTGTTTTAAATTCTCTCAACCATTTGACAGTGAATGTTCAATCACCATTGCAATTGCTGGTGCTCGAACCCATGACCTCTAAAAACAACAATGATTCCCTTAACCACTAAAGTAAGTTAGTTCATGCAACTTTATCACTTCTTTTCACTACAAGAAAATATACCTTTAATGACACACGAACGATGACACACGCTAATTTATGACTTGCAAAACATGTGTGTCGTAAAAAAATGTCATGTTTTTAAAATCTAAATGATTTATGACTTACAATAATGTGTGTCATATTTAATAGTCATAATCCAAAAAATTTGCAAAAACACGGAGTACACTTTTTAATTGTGTGTCATCTTTAGGAGTCGTATTCTAATTTCCCCCATTACTTTCATCCTTTCCCGCTTCTTCCCCGCCTAATGTTTTCCACTCCTTTCATTTTCTCCTTTTCTCTCCTGCTTTTCATCCCGATTCTCTTCTTCTTGTTAGGCTCGAGATTGAATCCCAGCCTCTGCCGCCCATTTCCGCCTCCGATGAACTCGACGATCTCCGTCTCTTCCACCGCGCCACCGTCTCTCCCTCCGTCTCGTCTCACCTCTCCTCCCCTAAAATCGTTTTCCTTTTCTTGAGCAACACCGACCTCCATTTCCTTCCCTTTGGCACCGTTTTCGGCTACCGCTTCATCCCAAACGCCAAACGCACTTTTCGGGCATCGTTTTCCCCAGTTTTGTTTGGTATGTCCTAGCTAACTCATATTTTTGGTTCGGTTTCTTAGTGCTTCTTATTTTGTTTGCTTTACTTTATAATAAAGGGAAAAAGGTTATTTAGGGATGCCCAGTGATTGGGAGGAATCTTGGATGAGTCAAAATTTACAAACTAATTTATGGACTGAATATCAAATCTTTAGTTTATGATATTATGAGGTTTATGTAAATGCTGTAATTTTCAGCTTCTTTTTGCTAGAGGATAGGTGGGTTGACTTAGATAGTTGCCTGGTTGTTCATTTGTGGAAACCTTTCTGTTCAGTAACTACTAGTTGTTTTCCATGAAAAAATGACCCCACTTTCAAATAAAATCAGGTTCATAGCATGAAATTCTTCTTCTTCTTATTTTTTGAAACTTTTCTGTCGTGTTATTTTATGAAACTAATTTTTTTGTGCTCCAAAGTATTCCTACTGGTGTTTCTGATTATATTTGCACTGGAAAATACTGTCAGGTTGATGCTAAGCTGGGTTTTGATACTTACCATCAGCAATGGGTTCTGGAAACTTGTTGAAGACAATAATAAATATAGTTAAAGATGACGGTTCAAAGCAAGTAAAGATCAGCTTCTAAAAGCTTAATCATAAACTAAGCAATGCAACTCTCTATTTTTTCCAGTGATAAATGATTAGTTTGCAATTTGAATCCTTTGGGTTTATATTATGCATGATCTAAACATTTTGGAAGATTGTTTCTCCCACTAGAATGGTCTATTTTTTTAAAGCTTTTACAACTGGAAGTGTTATTGCCCATTATTCATTACCCCCTTCCTTGATATCATTTGATATCTTCAATTTATCATTCATTTGTTTCCTTTATTAAGGTGACCTTTTAATTGGTCTCATTTGTTCGGCACAGGGATCTTCAGCTTGCACAAAATCCAATGACTTTAAATGGATAGAAATGTATGAACATGGTTGGTGTGGTATTTGGTTGTAGCGCATATAGTGACCATATAATTTAATGTTTGAGCATGATTTTAGTTAATAGTTTAAAATGAACTTTTCATCTTTGAAGTAGTCCATACTGGATTGCTTTGCACCTGTCAGTTAAAAGTTTTCCTTATGTAGAATTTAAGTTTGTTGTATTATGTAACTTGGTTGTCGGCCATTTCTGCAATTACCATATAATATTTCTTTTCTACTTCATTTTCTAGAGGAAATTATTGAAGCTTATCTTGCAGTTTTAAGAATGTGTATTGTTGTTACTGCAATTTGGAATAAGGAAGTTAATACCTGGAAATTGTTAAAGGTCATTAATCATTTTGATCAATAGGTTTATTCTTTGTGTGCTCAAATCAAATCTCTTCTAATTAAGCTCATGGAATTGATCGTATTAGCAAAGTTTAGGTGCTAAAGAAAAATATTATGCATTTTTCATTAGTTCCATCTGTATTCAGATATGGTTTTATATAATGCTTTGTTATAATGAATATTTAGCCACTTTTAATGTTATTGGTTCACCTATCATTATTTCCATGTGCCTTATTGTTAATCACTTATTTTTATATATCTTTTGAACATGAGAAGTGCAGCATCTGAACTTTCATTTGTGTTTTGATGTATAATAATTATATTAAGTATGTTTTATTATACTATAATTGCAATTTTTGAGTCTTTAATCCTTTTGTAGTACACTCCTGCAATTGATATGTGGAGTATAGGATGCGTATTTGTTGAGATACTTACAGGAAAACCACTTTTTTTCCTGGGAAAATGTGGTGAACCAATTGGATCTCATGACTTATATGCTTGGCATTCCCCCTCCTGAATCTATATAAAGGGTTAGTTATCTTGTTTCTTATATTTCACTTGATTTATTTTCACTTCAACCTGACGCTGATTTCAAGCTTTGTTACTGAGATTCTAATTGAGAGATTCTAAGTTCATGTCTTTACCTTTTCTTATAAAGTATTTTCCATTTATGGCAGGTCATTTCGAATGGGAAGTATCTTGATTTATGTCTTAGCATTCTTGTCAGCAATTTCACCCCTCCGCCTTATTTCTTGGATAAACTAAAACTGTCACACGGTCTTGAGAGGAAGGGCCAAGCTCTTTCTCGAGTACACTTGGCTTTCAAAAAGATAGTTGATTATGTCCCTCTTACTCCCTTGAGATTATTGACTGTAGTTCTGCAAGGAATGGCAACAATTTATCACAAGGACCGAGTAAGTTGAATTTTCTCAGTAGGGAATTTAGATGTCCTTTTACATCAAATTTTTATGTATTTTTCTGTTCTGGTTGGAGTATATATAGTATTTAAAAGTCAATGTTGTTATGCTTTGTGCGTATTTATTCGATTCTAGTCCTAAATGGATGACAATATAAGACATTGTTCGATTTAGTTTTAGTGAAGTTCTTCAATGCAATTTCCTGAATAATTATATCATGCTTCTGTTGCTTTTGTGCCTGCAACTGCCTATTTTTATTATTGAAACTTGTTAAATTGAATCTGAAGCTTATCCACTTTTTCTGTAGGCGGTTGTGATATATGTGGAGAACATATTAAAATTAGAGAGAGGTGAAATTGGAGAACTCGTTAGAAGCACAATGCTTATGGCTGTGGTGGACCGACTGATAGAACTAGATGTAAGTGAATTGAATTTTCCTTGGAATAAAAAATTGTTGGCTTTATGTGGTGGTGAGTTTATTGGAGTTTCATATAGGGGGAGATCAGATGGGATGCCATTTTGCAAGATGATTTCAGGAAATGCATATTTGAGATGGAGCTTGAAGATGTGGATGACATTGAGGAAAATGATGAGCCTGAGGTTGGAGAGGTATAGTCAACATGTTTCTGGTTTTTAATTTGTACCTTTGCACCTTAATATTGTTCTAAAACTCTAGTAACCAGTTTATGATGTAAAAATGATGGAGCTCATTTTGCAGTTTCGGTTAAGCCGTAAGAGTCTGGCTGGAAACAGCATTGCTGAACTGCTAGATAACCTACTGGTTTTAACTTTTGAACATCTTGAATCTTGTGAAAGGGAAGGCCTCTTAGCTAAGGTATTTTGTGAAGTTAATCTTTCCATCTCCTCTTCATGATGTATTATTCTACTTGATCTATCCTTAAGTTTGTTTAATTGTTGTATAGGTATTTGAAACACTTCTCCAGTCATTTCAGATAACAGTTCTAAGTGCCTACAAGTCCAAATTTTCTTAGGTAATACTTAGTTTCTTGAGATTCTTGTTCCTAATTCTTGGTGAACATCTGAGTACTATTTGTTTTTTTTTTAATTTTCTTAATACAAGCAACAAGATTTGCATGACTTGCAAGTAATTCAGCTTTTTCTTTACCCTAATATTTGCAGTTTGTTATATTCTATGCTTGCGCATTAGATCCTGAAAACTGTGGTATGAAATTTGCCACAATGCTGGTAGAATTATTTGTCCAATACTCACAGCCTCAACCAACCAAGTAAATTTTTATTATCTGAAAGCTTTAATGAATATTAGACGTCTTTTGTAGGCATATATTCCTTGAGTTCATGCTTCTTTGCCATAATTTTCATATTTGGAGAAGCATTATGGTAAAGGTGAAAGAAGTACTCTACTTCTAAGACATCATTCTTCTTTGCCTAGGCATGCTTCATAAAATTTTAGGAATCATGTTAGTTCCATAATTTCTCCCCCAAACTTAGTCTGTCTAGTTCATGTGTCATATTTCAATTTGCCTGAATATCGTCTTTACAGAGAGCGAGTTCCTGCTCCCAAGGATGAATGTAGGATGCTATTATTGGAAATTCATCTATGATAACATCTTGTCTATTCATATTAATAAGAATCGTCATGCTCTTTTTATTTCTGCTAAAAAACTCATAGTTGGATGTTATTCTAGACTTCTAGTTATCACCTTCTGGTTTGAATGTTCTTTTATTTTGATGATTCATGTTTCTGTATGGAGGTTATCGTTTGAGCACTAGACAATCGCCTTGAACCCTTGGGATTTTATGCAATTGTTATCGTAGCAAGTTCTAGTTGATGCAATTGTTACTTTCACTTTCTTTTTGAATGCGAAATGGAGAAAAATGGGATTTTATTATGAATAAGACATATTGAAGCATTGTGAATCTGATGAATTTAGGAAGCAAAAGAGAATTCATTTTGGCACGAGGATTCATGGTGCTAAAGGTTAAAAAATTAGAGCTCTATTGGGGAAGAACATAAGGTTGATTCAGTTGTTCATGCCATATAATTTTTTATTGAAAGCATAGACATCGTTGATTTTCGCATCATATAGTGCATAATGTTATTATTCGTGGTGATATTGTTGTGAACAAAGTTGGTACTTTTTATAGTGCTATTGATTTGATGACTTTGCATAATGTTATTATGCTTCAAATAATGCAGATGTAAAATTGGTCATTTTAGTACCCTTTAATAGTTAATTATATACTTCACTTTAAATAAGTATAAATTATATACTTATTTCATCTTTTTTACTTAGGTTGGCGATGGGAATGAAGAATACACGGATGATGACATTAATGATATTCGCAAAGAATTTGTATCTTATGTGGCAAACTTTATTATGTTGTGATATTTTGTATCGACATATGATTAATACAATATTTTTTATAACTTAATGTGAATATATTGTATGCAAATGGAATGCTTATATATAATATGATACATATATTTAGTATTATGAGGCATTAAATGTGATTTAGTTTGATTATTTGTCAATCTACAATATATATATATATATGTATGTATATATAATTTACGAAATACAATCATGACACACGAATGTGTGTTGTCTTTTTTAATGGCGTGTGCTTCAATGACACGCAATGTAAGTCATACATGCGTGTCATAAATTTATGACACGCAAATGTATGTCAAGTAGATTTATGACGGGGGCTTCAATGACGTTCAATGTAAGTCATACATGCGAGTTATAAATTTATGACACATAAATGTGTGTCATCTTTATTTATGACGGGGGCTTCAATGACGCTCAATGAACGTCATAAATGCACGTCATAAATGCGCGTCATAGATTTATGACACACAATTGCGTGTCATAAAAAATTCATGTCGGTGGCTTCAAAGACAGGCATTTGTGTGTCATCCGCACCCATAGATGACGCGTAATGCGCGTCATTAAAGGGGTTTTTTCTAGTAGTGTTTCTTTTCTCTAAACCATTTATTGTTTCTTTATTTCTCACCTTTGATCGCTAGGCGACGACATCAGTCGTAATGTTGATTGTTGTTGTTAGTATTTCTTTATTTTTTTTCTTTATTTTCTTTTCTCGTTTATTTACTTTTTGTTTCTAATAACTCTATTTTTATAGCACGATTTCCCTGCCTTTTAACACATTTTTTTTGTTTTCTTTGGTCGTTTCGCCATTCGTGTCATTTAATTTTCTCAGGGCTGGACTTGACTTTGTTATCATGTTGATTTTCTTTATTTTAGATCATCGAATTGGATTTGGATACGCTACATACGTACGTAGATACTTTTCTCACAGTGTTTGGCTCTAATTTGTGTTACCGGTGGTATAGTTAAATCCCCTATTGCAGATTGTTTACCATAGGAGTCATATATGTTTGTATCTAACTATTGTTTGAGTTTTTTGGATGAGTTTTTCACCTTTTCATTATATGATCCTTATATGAACTCAAGTGACTAATTTTTTGTGTTTATGGTTATAGGAGAATAACCTAATTATGTGTTTAATTTACGAATCTAGTTGTAAACCCTCATTATAATTTTAGATATTTTTTTATTTCTTAAAAAAATTAGTTACTTTTACTTGTAAAAAAAGTACAACACGTAAAATATAAAATAATCAATTATATATTATAAAAATATTCTTATTCTTTTAATTCTATACTCGAAACAAATATGAGATGTTCACTTGTTATAAAATAATTCATAATTTATCTATATCATGTCGAAAATCAAATTTCATTCGCATAATTTCAATTATCAAAAATAAATATAGAGTTATTCGGATAAAAAATCAAATTCGAATAGTTTGATCGAACGAATTAGAATACAAAAACTTCGAAGTATTACATATCTAGTAATACAAAACTTGCCGGTGGATCTTTTCATTCGATGAAAGGGGTCTACGAAATATTATTTATCGAACAATCGATCAAACCCCAATAATTGATGTTGTATTCTCACTTCCCAATGTATTCGTCCTCGATTTTTACCCGAGAGTTTATCTCATATACTCTTGAAGAGGGTGCTAGCTTCATGGGTTAATCGGGAAATACTTGTTTCGTTTATTTGGTTCTTCGTGAGTGATGGTTTTGATATGGGAAAAAGCTTTCAGAATGGTTTGTTGAAGTTTCCCATGAGTGTTGTTTTGGTTAGGTACTGTGGGTTTTGTATTGTTGATCTCTCGTATCGTCGTCGAGCTTGTGGGTTATGTTTTCAAGCGTTTTGGAGGGGTGAAATTTGTTCTAGTAGGTTTGATTTTGTAGTCGTTGCTAAATGGAGTCTTTGGTCTACGTTTGTAACGTTTGATTTAGATAGATCAGTTTCAGAGTGAGCTGTTCCAAACGCTGGTCAAGTAAAGGCTATCGAGGTTGGGGCAGGTTCTATGGAGGATGCTGGTTGCGGAGGTGTCTGTGAGTTCGACCGACTACTAAACATATGATACTTCGTTGACTTCCATCGAAAGATCCCTCAACAATGCTATTGTTCATATAAAATAATTTATAATTCGAACCCGAATTTGATACATAAACAACAATGACTCGCAATAAATTCTGAATCTCAGAGCGTTCGGAAATATAAATGCAATACCCCAAAACTCTTGCTTGTCACCAAACTTACCATACTACATTTATTCAAACCAGCAAATATTTTGATCCAAAGCAATGGGAAGTTCTTTCAATCAAAAAAAATTAACCGACCCTATTTCCATATGTAATAAGGTAAGGGGAGGTAGGGTAATAGGCTGCCCCCAACGCCAGGTTGAGAACAGTTTTCGTGGAAGACTTCCGTTATGAATTACCCTCAGTAGGACTCGATCCCACGACCACGAGATTAAGAACTTTGTGCTCTACCAACTGAGCTAAACGAGCAAGACATAAAGTTCTTTCAATCAGTTGATTCCAAAGCAAAGCTACGAAACCCCACAGTCCCCACCGTGAGCCCCGGCCCAAACCCTAAAAGCACACCCAACTCCAGCCCTTCACCGGTGGTGGATTTGCCTTCAACCACCGACTTCCTCCTCAACGCATCGAGAGCAAACAGCGAACTTTCAGACCCATGTTTCCATATTCACTTAGCACATCCCAGCTTGCTCCAAGCTTCTCACTTGCCAACCCAAGTTTCTCTTCCATTCCTCTGAGAATGGCCGGACCACCGGTGTGGACCGTGTAGAACAATTTGTTCCAATCATCAACACCAAATGGTGCGAACATTTCGTGTAAGCATTGCTCGATGTTGTTGGTGACGACCTTGGGCAAATCTCTAGACAAATAGTACTCCATCCCCATTTCACGTACTTTTGCTACAATGATCTCATCGGAGTCCGGGATCTCTGTTTTTGTTGCTGATATGATTTGAAACAAAGGTCGCCGGTTGATGGTCGTATCTGTTCGATTAAAATTTATCATTGTGAGCACATATATATAATGTACAATATTCTTATAAAATGTAGTACAAAATTAAGTGATCAATTAAGTTACATGTATCATAGATATCATAAATTGTATTTATAATATGACGATGAACATAATTATGAATACTTAAAAGACTAACATAATATTTAGTTTATATGAAGAGGTAGTGTCCCAAATAAATAAATTAAATTGTATTACACTTATATTATCAGAGAGAGCTTTTACCGCAAAAGAAAATCTATCTTCTTCGAATATTAGAACCAAATAAAGTTTCAAAGATTTCATTCTATCAATTAATTCAATAAGGCTATAGATAACAACGGGACGGGTTGGGTCAAGTTTTTGGTCAATCTAAACTCAGTCCATCCCGAAAAATATATGTCTTCCTCCACACCTACGATCTGATTTGAAAAATATATATCTTCCACTCAAACCTAACCCAACCCAATTTTTTGGAGAATAAACATGGTTCGGTCTGACCCAACTTGACATAGATTAAGGACATAATTAAAAAAAACTATAGAGAGGATGTATTATAGTAATTATTCATAAATTTATATGAAAAATTACTCTATTACTTGAGATAGGGTCGGGTCGGAGGCTTTTCACCCTCTACCGACTGAACCTAATCGTATATAAAATTCAATCCAAACCTGATTCTTTTTATAAAAATACTCGATCATATCAAGTTGATCAGGTCAAAATTTATTGGGTTTTGGATAAAATTGTCACCTTTAAGTAAGGCTTTCACTTCTAGTATTTTATTCTTGATGCTTTAACAAGACGGGTCTTAGATTTTGATTTCATATCAACTAACAATATCTGACTTACCACCACCACCGGTAACAATAACAGCCGCTGCCCCATCTGAAAATATAGTTGATCCGACGAGTATGTCAATGTGAGTCTCGGAGGGTGCATGAAAACACACAAGACTATGGATCTCACAGAAAACAATAAGAACACGGGCATCGGCATTGTTTTCGGCTAAATCCTTGGCATGACGAAGGGCAGTACCAGCAGCAAAGCAACCTTGATTGAAAATCATGAATTTCTGAACCGAAGGTTTGAGTTTTATGAGCTTAGCAAGGCGATGGTCGGCACTAGGCAAGCCTATCTCCGATGATGTACAAAATATAAGGTGTGTGATGTTTGATATTGGCTGTCCCCATTCTTGGATGGCCTTTAATGCAGCTTCCATACCAAGCTTTGGTATTTCTCTTACAAGAATATCTTGACGTGCGTCGAAGGATGGAGCTCCGTAGATGCCTACATGGACGGACATGGATTTTAGGTTAGAGGGACGACTTTGTAAAACTATAGAAAAGATCAAACTTATAAAATTCTGGGTAAAGTACACAAATGGTCCTCCGACTATAGGAGTTACTTTGTTAAGTCCCCGACTATTAAAAATTATAAAATAATCACTCAATTATTCATATGTTCCAAATTTATCCTTTTTCCGTTAAAAAAAATTACACCCGACTAAGTTGGACGTTAACATATTGGTCAACTGCTTGAACTCATGTTCGAAAGTAGTTGTTTTGAAACACCTCCAGAAATCTGATATAGAAGATCCCACAAGAAACTTGGAGAGCATATTTTTCAGCTTCATTTCACAACCATGTGCTAGTAATGGTTTTCTAACTTTTTCAGTAGATTAACATCTAGCTCAGACAACCGTTAATTTTTTTAACGAGAAAGAATGAGTTTGGAACATTTGAATAAATAGGTGACCATTATGTAATTTTTAATAGTCAAAAGACTCAACAAAGTAACACCATATATTCGAGGGATGACTTCCTCATTTCATGCCAAATACCTATGTTGGGGTTTCTTTCAATGATGTCCTCTGTGAGGTGCATGTAACGTTTCTTTATTCTTGTTTTTCCACCTGTAATTTCGAAATCATACATAAAGTTGTTGATGAAGATGAGATTATCATATACTCAAAAAAGAAGTTTTACACTTACAAATGCGTTTGAACTTGTCTTTCAAGTGAGTCGAGTGCTGGCTTTTAGTGAGGTGAAAATAGAGGTCTGGATAATCATCTTGAGGGTAACAGTTGGGTGGATTTGCAGTGCCAATGGCTTGAATAAGCGCTGCTCTCTTTGCTTCTCCACTCTCCATCTTTCTCAATGATTACAACAATCATCATATGCTCTATATTTATACACATAAATAGTAAAGAATCACTCAATATTTTACAATTTGATTTATAAGGTAAAGTATACAAACGATCCCTCTAACTATAGGACATTATTTTTATTAAATCTCTAAATTATTAAAAATTATAAAATAATTTTTCGACTATAAGATATTATTTTAGTGAGTCTCTCAACTATTAAAACAAGACATTAAAATAAGATTTATCATACGGTCTAGTACTCATCTTAAAGACATTAAGTACTTAAAACAACATTAAATTACCCTACTCGTGTAACATAATTTATCATCTCGTCATTTTAAGTTTTTGATAATATTCATATTAAAGTATAATTTAAAATAAGATTTATTAATCATGCATTATTTTATATTGGGTCATTATTGATTCGAGTTATTAGCTATAAAATAATTAAATAATGTATATCTTAAGATGGGATGAAAGTTTAGTGTTTCAAGAGGATTTCTTTGTGAGTGACGACAGCCTGAGGATTTTATTTCAAGATGGGACCAAAGTTTAGTTTTTCAAGAAGATTTCAATATTGTTAAAAAAATTAAACCATCATATTTTATTTATTGGTTTAATTATTCATCTTTATTTTTTTTATATTTCCTTATATTATGACTTTAAACTTACTAAAAACACACTAGTTTCTTCATCGAAAATTCCCCTTTCCTCTGCTTTAGGTATAATCAAGATTAAATAATTTAAAGGGACAAATGTTTTATAAAATTCTAATATGAATAATATTTTCTTTTGATAAATCTAGGTTGAATACAAGATAATATACGTTCAAAAATTCTCAATCATTTGACAATAAAGACTCGTACTCTTACATATACAGTGCTCGAACCCGAGACCTCGAGAGATAATAACAAATTTCTTAACCATGAATATCGCTTAATCCGTAATTTTTATATAAATAATAAATAAATAAATAAATAACGGCATGTGCATCATTTAATATAGAATAAATTTAAAACATTTATTTATTTGAAGTCTATATTTTACTTTAAATTTTATATTTATTAAATAAACTAATCATATAAAATTTACATTTTCTGAAAGGAAACTCTGCATGTTGTATATCCATGAATTCGGCTTGTTATTTTATTAGTAAATCGAATCGGATGAAGTTTAGAATCAATAATATTATCTATAAACTTAACTTATTCTTAAATTTAAGAATATATTAACATTAACTAAAAAATTATATTAATATTAATTTAAATTTAATATAAAATATTGTAAAAAAACTTCATAAGGTTAAAAAAACTTAAATGTTGATTTATCTTTTTCTTCATTTTTTATTGATAGACAACAACATAGTCTTGGTGTTGGTTATTGCTATCGATATTTCTTATTTTTTAATTAATTTCTTATATTTAATCTTTATTTTTTTAGTTTTTAATAAATATATCTTTATGGTATGTTTTCATCTGTCTTTTGATATGTTTTCAGTCATTTTACTATTATTTTCGTTTATCTTTTAATTAAGGTTGTATTTGATATCGTATGCTTAGTTGAGATGACACTTATTTATTATCATGTTGATCTTTACTTTAGACCCTCAGATTCAATTTGTATACGTCATTTATGCTTGTGAATAATTTTCTCACGTTGCTCGACTCTAATTTATTGATTGTCAGTGATCTTTATATAGTTTGATCTCTTTTTACGATTTATTTATCATTGTAGTTAAGTTTTTAAATGATCCTTAAACTACAACTATCGTTCTAAATTATTCTTCAAACTTTTGAACATTTCAATTCCACCCCCAAACTACAACATTCGTTCTAAATTAATCCTCAAACTTTTTGAACATTCCGATTTCATCCTAAACTATATGTATATACTAATCACATTCATTTTTAATAAAACCGTTAGGTCAAATTTTATTATTGTACTTGTGAAAAAAATTAAATTAAACTATGATTTAAACTAATTACATATTTAGATGAATTTGAGGATGAAATTAGAATATTCAGAAGTTTAAGGACCAATTTATTTGTTTATAAGTTTTAATACATCTTTTGGTTTTTTTATATAGTTTTTGATTCAGCAAATGGGAGAGGGAAGGAAGATGATTTATCAGCAATGCAATATATTTATTAATTGTGAATAAATATGGAAAACATGAGACAATATATAAGCAAAAAATGTAAGAGAAATTCAACTACGCCTCGTAACCACTTGAAAAAAAAAAGTTATGTCTCTTCAAGAATCTCTCTGTGGACATGCATGCAAGAGGTGCTGCAATACTTGTAATTATACCTGTGAAAAGGAACTTTTCCAGCCAATGATATATTACAACAGGAGCAGTTAAAATCGCCTGGACCCGATCCTCCACCTTTCGGTTGTATACTAGATGTCGATCCTACAGTTGAGCTACTTCCTTGAGCATCGTGGGTGGGGGTGGCCGCAGCTGCTGCTTCGGCAATCCTCTTCTCAGCAGCGGCAGCTCTCTTTTCCCTCTCAATGGCCTGTGCTCTCTTTAATTCTTCCTGTTGTGTAGAACGGAGAAAAAGGATGAATAGTCGAAACGATGCTTGATTTGAGGTGATTTATAGAGAAAACTAATGGAAGAATGAGAAACATATCCTACCAGAACTAGGAATGGCAAAAAACACATGTATACGACGGGTTCTGATCCGATATGGTAGATTTTTTCTATGAAATTCGGGTTTTGGGCCAGGGTTTTTTTCCTTAAAATTGCCAAGTTCGGATTTAGGGAGAACCTGTCCCACCCCAACCCGAAACAATTACGAGAATACACTTTTTATGTATTGTTAGTTAGATTTTGACAAAAATATATATTAAAAACCATCATATAAGGTATTTAGAATTATGACATTAAATTAAAACTCGGGGAAGGGATCACGGTCAGGTTTTATTCGGATCATGTTGGGTCGGCCAAACATCTACCCGACCCATTGTCATCCCTAACTAGAACTGTGGCAATAATTTTATTGCAAGGAAATATTTACCTCCTTAGAGATTCGCTGTGCACCAACTGGTTGGGCTTGCCGTCCCTTCGAAACTGAAGCTACAGCAGCCTGGTTTTGTGAAACGGCTACGGTATTCTGGGAAGCAGCCTCAGCCTGAACATTGACATGAGAAAAAAAAAGTCTCATTAAATGCGATAAAAAAACATACTTCTTTATTCCTGTATAGCATTGCATATCTTCCTAATAACATCAAGAAATTCAATTCACTAGAGCCTTACAACAAAGTTTCACGAAAATACCAAATCCCATTCCCCAAGATGGCATGAAGAATGCACCTTCATTTGGACACAGAGCAAATTCAAAATCTTCTCCAATAAACTAAATCGGCATTTCTGATGAACCCATGTTTTATTTTAGTTTTACCATGGTGGATACGTGTTGTTCAATCGTATATTCTTTACACTTTTTGGAAGGGGGATGTGGAAGGTGAAATTTCAGGGCCGCATGTTGATACATATTTTCTTCGATTTCGGAAGTGGTTAATAGGAAATATTTACCTGTGCTTTCTTTTCCCTGGCTCTACGCAATTTCTTTAGTTCCTTTGCTCTGGCTTTTCTCTTGGAATCTTTCTCTGCCTGAGCAACAATATATAAAGTCATCAGACTCGACTCAACATGGAACATAAAAATGTTCACACATTAAGGACCTAAGTTACCAAAGGACAGCAACAGACAAAGATAATCAAATGATAGGATGTCCCACAAAAGTGAAGAAAAATAATTTTGAAAGAATAAATTCTAAGAAAATTGGATAAAATAATTCCCAAAAAATCTTTCTTTTGATGAAGTTCATGTGCGTGGGTGAACAGGATAAAAGAGTGGCATGCCTTGATAATACCAAGCAAGATATGGCAGCCATTAAACATTTGAATCAGAATATGTGCTTCTATTAACTTTGAAAATTTCATGATTGACAACTATGCAAAAGCTTCATAAGAAATATAGTTATCTCGAAGATGTGTATATTTTTTTATAGGGAGATAGAATATCTCATGATTGATAGTTATGCAAAAACTTTTACCTTTATAGGAAGAAAGAAATATTGAACATACTCAGCCTGCTTAATCAATAACTACTTATATAATCTGAACTATTATCTATCTTGCTTTATAAAACAAAAATTAGCTTTATAAAACAAAGGTTTAAGCAAATCAGCTGTCGATAAGATTCTTGGTGAACAGTCTGATACACAACCAAGGAGGAAAAATAAAATTACCTGCTTGGCTGCTTGAGATTCCTCCATTTCTTTAGTTAAGGCACTAGGTACTTTAGCAGAATTCCAATCCCACTTCTCAAGGTTTGCTGCCATGAACCGTCTAAACATATTCCTAACTTCCTTCTCACTGGCTAGAATATATGGGGTTCGTCCTCTTTGGTCTTTAATACAGGGATCTAAACCCTGCTCCAGGAGTTCCAGAACCTTTTGAGCATCTCCAGATTGTGCAGCTTCATGCAAAGGTGTTGAGGTACAAACAACTTCGCTATCACTCTCGCTTGATATAGTATCAGCTTTTACATTGTTTGAAGGAATTTTGGAAGCATCGTTACCACTCAAGTTGTCCTCTAATTCCCTCTTTGCAGGAGTCTAGGTTGCCATTATTATTGGTGCTACTACTTAACATATCTTCTTTGATGCCTGGTGGAATTTCCTTCTTCACTTCATACGAAACTTGTGTAAGTTGGCTGTATATACGCTTAGCCTCCTTTAAGGTGGGCCTACGAATAGTTAATGGAACGTTCCGGACAGCACAGAAATGATGACTAAAACAAGGTTTATCCCCATTGAAGAACACATTACGATTGCTTGAAGGAGCATGAATAAAAACACATGATGAAGCTTCGAAATAAGACTTCCAAGAAGCAAGCAACTCTTGAATTTCCTAAAGATTTATAATAACACGCGAATCAGTCAACATATGGAGCACAAACAAAAAACATAAGAGTAACATAAATAAAACAATGTTACTGAATTGAAACCATGGCGGAGTTTAAAGCATCACTAGAACACCGCTAGGTGATCATTTGCATGGTTTGACTGCAGATCAAGATGGTAGCAGAACATCACGGACCTAATAAAGAAAAGAATAAGTCAATACCTTCTTCAATGCAAGTTCATTATGCCGCCGGAGTGCAGCTCCAGCAGAATGCGCAGCCTTCCCGGTTGCATCTTTTGATGACTGTTTCTTACCAGCCTTGGCCCTCACAACATATCTACAAAACATCAAATGAGATTATGCCTATCCCTCATTACGACTATCATTCTAAATTTCTAACATTAACTATATATATATATAGCAGACCTGTGGAATGTTTTGTGAGCCACCACTGTGTTGCCATGAAACACACAACCAGCAAAGTGTCCACCACTCGAAAGCAACACAATCCTGAAAATTGCATTATCCTTAGGCTCTTGAATCAAAGTTCTCAATCTCTCAATCACCTCATTTTCTCTCAAGCACCCAGGATTATGGCTCCACACTTCTTTATCATTCTCATATAGAACACTTTCAGACTCGTTCAAAATTAAAGATTTCCAAACTGAAACTCTCTCTCCGGTTTGAAGAAGAATTAACAACTTCTTCCTAATATTTTCAATCAATCCCTTATGTGCATCACTGCGAGGATAAGCTCCCTTATCAACTTCAAATAAAGCAAATTGAAAAGAAACAGATGAGAAAATTTACATTTAAACGATGAATGTCGGATTTGAAGTGGGAGCGCTGGTCCTGGAGAGAGTCAAACTCAGCCTTGCAGGTATTGCAAGTCCATCTAGGCAAAGCGACTCCGGGTTTGGTGCTCTTTTCTTCAATGTCTTCGGTATTATTAGGGTTTTCTGAAGAAGAATTCTCAGAGATGGAGAGAGGCTGGAAGAGTGAAGTTAAAGAAGGAGAAAGTAAACGACACGAATCGAAGAAGTTGACAGTGAGGTCGAATATCGAACAGTGTCCATTTTCGGGGGGAGTTGCGGCGGCGGTGGCGGACGGAATTGGTTCACTCGCCATGGCTGTCGTTTGGTTTGATCCCTTTAGTTTGATTTCCTTTGGTATAGCGAAACGATGACTTGCGTGTTATCCTAACACAATATTACGTTATTATTAAAAAAATTAAAAGTTAACGATAGATTTAGCAGATTTCGAGTTTGAGTTTTTATGTATGTAAAAAAAATTTTGTTGAGAGACTTACTCATCACAATCAACTAGGTGTACGACCCGAGTCGATTCGGAAAAATCAAAACGAAACCTTAGAATCCAAATGGACAACCAAAAAATTAAAAAGTTATTTATTATGATAATAGTTATATTTACTTTTAAGGTAAAATATACAAATTCATTGATTATAAGATATTACTTTGTTAAGTTCTCTTACTATTAAAAAATACAAAATGATCTTTGGACTATGAGATAATACTTTGTTGATTCCTTCAATTATTAAAAGTTACAAAATAGTCACTTGACTACTCATATGTTTCAAAATCGTCATTTTTCTGTTAAAAATTTAACACTCGTCTAAGTCGGAAGCTAATATGCTACTGAGATATGATAAAATTATATTTTAATTATGTCAACTAACATTATTGTTACTTTTAAGCACTGGCTCGCCAGCATAATATTTCAAGTATTAGTTCGATGACATAATGTAAACGAAGATTCGATCAAAAAATACAACTAAAACGATGATGAGATCAGATTTTATCTTATCACAATCAACATGTTAACGTTTATCTCAAACGAATGTAAATTTTTTAATGAAAATGATGAGTTTGAAACATATGAATAGTTAAGTGACCATTTTGTAACTTTTAATAATAAGAGAACTCAACAAATAAGTGTCCTATAGTCGAGGAACAATCTTGTAGCTTTTAATAGTCAGAGAACTCAATAAAATAATGCTCTATAATTAAGGGACCTTTTGTGTACTTTATCCTATTTTTAATCGCGAGTGACAAAAACAAAATCAAGATGTAACGTTAGATATGATTTTAAAAATTAGTTAAATAATCAAAACAGAATCAAAATAATAGTTTGGTGACTATATACGTAGTTTACCCTAAGAATAATAGGCATAATGATAAAGAAAACACTCATACTTTTGATCCTATCTATTTTTTTAGTACATTAACTCCCAACATTTTATTTTGGTTAAATGAACCCTTTCATAAATAAAAATAATTAATTAACTAACTATCAATCTATGATAATGATATAGAAACTTATATGATATCATATGATGATGTAATAATGTTGCATATGCAAAGCTCATAACACGCAAATGTTATCTCAACAAAAAGAATTAAAATCTATTTTCTTAAATTAATTTTATATATTTTTTATTTAATAATTATCGGTTTACACTTGTTGAGTATTGAACCCATGTTACATAGGAGAAAAGCCATGACACCTTATCATCGAATCAGGTCTCAAACAGTGGTTGATTCAAATGGTAAGCATCTTAATAACGTTTAATCAAAGTCTTGAGTTTGAGTTTTTATGTACATAGAAACTCTCTGCTGAGAGATTCACCCACCAAAATCATGTGTGCAACGCTGATCAATTCGAATTAATCAAGGCAAAACTTTAAAATCGAGATACCAACAAAAAAATAGTATTATATATATTACGTCTCTCACACATTTCATCTAACACCTTCTTTATCACTTCTCCACTTATAATTTTCAACTTAATCTTCCATACGAATGTAGGTCTGTCATCAACTACGAAGAGGAGATTTGTTTGTTGGTAAGACAATATTATACTTGAGCTTTAAAGTCAGCTTGGATGGTGCATATCCAAGTTGCAATATCATGAGGAAAGGATGTTGGTAATGCTCAATCTCACATAGTATTGGAAACACTATTGAGAATGAGTATTTATGGTTTGGAATTCCCACTTCCTTGTTGAGTGAAAGAGAACAAGGGGGACTCTCGCGCACCGTCGCCGCCGTCCGTCTCTTGTCGTGTCGTGGTAATACGTGTCTTTGACACGTCCGTGCGAATACTATCTTTTTAGAGAAAATTCTTGAGGAATTTCTCTTTGAAAGAAACAAATGAAAAAATGTGAAAGATTTCAACTGATATTTATAGGCTGCTGAGGACTGTTTAAATTTAAATGATAACAGCTGGTTTATGAGAGTTATCAGAAATTAAACAGCTTTTCCTAAATTAAATCAAAAACGTTAAGATGTATCTGGACTGATTTCCAGCTTTGTACAGAGGGGACAAGCTGTTAATATCAGGAGTTACATGAGTTATTTGATTTAATTCCAGGGGTTACATGATATAATTTCGGGAGTTATAACAGCTAAATAATGATGCAATGAACCTGGACTATTTTTTAGTCAGGTTCATCTAGACGTTTCAGCTGTTACAAAAGAAGAAATTTAGTCCTGAAATTTTATGGACGATTTTAACCCTATTTCTAGCCTATAAATAGAGGGCTATATTCAGCTTCTCAACTCACTCTCAACATTCACAATTCATTCTCAAAGTGTTTTCTGCAATTATTCTTTTTGTGCTTTCCGATAAGAAGAACAATACCACCGGCAGTCCACTCTGATTTCGGGTGTACGAAATTCAGAAAGACCGTGTTAATCTCGGGGGACGGTCCGCCTACTGCAGCGATTACACACATCGGGGCGAATTCGTTTCTAAGACAGTGGTTATATCACGACACGGTATACGAATATGTTCCTTTTAATTACTGTTTATATTTTCAGTCAATACTAATAGTGTAGTTTTGCAGTTCATATATCCAACAAAGGACGTGTTTGGTCTAAATAGGAGAACAAAATCTTGCTCTGTTTGCGGTAAACTAATTGAGAGCTCTCAAGAAAATGTTAAACATGTGGGGAATTAAGGGTTTCAACTTTCGAGAGACTAAAGTGTCGTATCATGTGCATACGTGGATAAAATCATACCACGTCAGTATTTTTTTTGTATGTATGGTAATTTCACGTTAGCATGTGATGTTGTATAAATTTGTCCCATCATTTTCTTTCGTTGATAATTAGTTGATTAATAATTTTTATCTACAGAAAAATTCTTTTGATAAAAAACAAAGCATTGGAGATTAATATATTTTAAAAAATAAAATAAAATTGACAATTTTATAACATGTTAGAGGTGTCTTATGTTATTATGTCATAATAATAATATTGTAAACTATACATGAAAAGGGTGAAATATTTTAGGCATAACAATAAAATTTTGTATAAATGATTACTTTGTCTCATGTTCTTGTTTCAACATTTTAACCCTTAATTTTTAAAGTTTTGGTTAAAATAGCCCATGATAAATAGAAATCATTAGTTGACTAACTATCGACACATGTTGTTGATATGATATTTCATATGTTCAACTGATGACATGTATGTGTAACGTCACTAATGTGATGGTATGTCATGTGTCATGTTACTTAAAGTGATGTTATATCAAGTATTATGTCACCTAAAGTGATGATGTTGCACATGTCACCTCATCAATTAAACACATGTAAAAATACAACGTTAACAATATATGTTGACCATTAGTCAACTAACAATTTTCATCCAGTAGAGATTATTTAACCAAAAATTATAACATTAAAGACTAAAATACTAAAAAAATAAAAACAAAATAACTAATCAATATAGGTTGGGGCACACCTCAATGAACTCTAAGAACAGTGATAACTTGATTGTAGGATCTAGGAAGGAAGTAAGCACATGTAGCAAGTGAAAGCTACAAAAAGAAAGGCTAAAGGTAAGTATATGTAAGGTGAAATGGGTGGGCTAGAATGATAAAGAGTAAGCGGAATAATGGTTAAGTTATTTTGTATGGTGATGTAGAGATGCACATAGTCGGATTTAAATTCGATCTGGATCGGATAAAAATCGATCCGGTTTTTTCACCAAGTCAAAAAATCGGTTTATAAAAAAATCGGTTTGGAGGGTCGGATGATGTAACCGGTTTCGGTTTGAAAAAACTGGTTTTTAATCCGGTAAAAAATCCGGTCATCTAATTTTTTAAACCCCAGACCAGATTTTTTCCCGGATAAAAAACCAGTTTTTTTTTGGATAAAAACCAGTTTTTTCCGGATAAAAATCAGTTTTTTTCAAACCGGTTTTTAATCCGGTAAAAAATCCGGTCGTCCAATTTTTTCCCAAACCGGTTATATTATCCAGTTTTAAAATATCTGATCCGGTTTTAAAAAAAATCGGTTTTTCCCAAATCCGGTTTCAGATATTTTTTGCGCAAAATCGAATATTCGAATTTTTTGTGCACCTCTATGGTGATGGCTATGAAAGAAAGATGGTGATGGTGTTTGATAGTATCTTAAATAGATTAAGGAAGAAGCAGTGCTATAGAGAGCAAAGACATGGCCTTATAAATCTATTTAAGTGATGGTAAATAAGGACTTGGACCCACTATCTATAGAGAGATAGGAACCTCAAGTATCAATGGAAAATAGAGGGGTTTAACGCCATAAGTGTTGTCACCACTTGATAAGTTGATAAAGTCTTTAAGACTAAGGAAAAGAGAATAAATCACACTTTGATATATTTCATGAACAAGAGTTGTTTTACAAGTGAAATAGGCCAACCTATTTATAATTGATGAAGGGAAACTTGGGCCAAGAGATACATATGTATTCGACCACTTTGAATCCCTTTAAAAAAAATACATAATTAATTAAGATACATTAAAGATAAAGAGAGGTGATGGTTCGGCCATTGGTGAAAGGAGATGTCTTGGCCAAATGATCATTGTGTTCATTTATCTTGGCGTCATTCTTGGTAGTTATGAAAGTTTGGCCAAATGGTGAGATGTTGTCACACCCCAAATTTTAATTTAAAATATATTTAATTTATTTAATTTAGTTAAGAGATCAACATGGATAATTTTGAAAATTTCTTGGTCAATCTCAAATGTTTAAGAAGTTCAGGGATTTAGTCTGAAATTTTCCCAATTTTGTTTTGTATGGAAAAATTAAAACTGGAGAAAGATATGGTTAAGAGGTTTTGAACTCCTGGCCCAATGTATGGCCAACCATTCCTCTACCAACTAGGTTATACCATTGTTA